TATGAAAAACTATTTCGACTTTTTTCTCCGAAATTGTAATTTCGGGACCCCAAAATAATTTTGCGTGCAAGTATAGTATATACATTAGTATAGTCTATAGCGTAATCTATTATAACTTCAATTATATATATAAAGAGCTAAATTTCTCTTTGCTCAGTTCTCAGTTAGTCAATTAGTTTTCAGTTTCATTCAATTTCAGTTCAGTTCAGTTCAATTCTTGTTGATAAAATACTTTGTGATTTAATATATATCCGTATAGATTATTATTTATACCATTGTAATTTCTAAGTGAAATTCTGTATTATTCCTTAGTAAAATACTGAAACTTTTATTGAATTATACCTTGCTTTATGATCTTGATATATAATTTTTGTGTTATAATTCTCTACTTAGTGTTAAGAATTATCTATTTAATTAGTCTATACCTTGTTCTTTGTGTATAATTTAGTTAAACCCTTATAAAAATCTCATAGCCTTATCTCTTTTGACCAAATCTGCAATATCTAAATCCTTCAAACATTATACTTTTGTATTATAAATTAGTTAGTAGTAATGTATTTTAGTTTAGCTACTGTACCCTTAGCTAATAGTTAATTATATCCTATAAAGGTCAGATCACGGTCAACAATGTTTTAATAATTTTTTAAGTCTTTTTGATCTTTGAGCTACAGAAGTTTTATTTTTTTTAAAATAGTTATTATAATATTTTCAATTACTTTTCTAGATCTTTTTAATATTTTAGTTATTTTTCTAAAAGAATATTTAGTTTTTCTTAATTTAAAAATTTCATCATATTCAAATTCAGTTAATTCTTTATTTTTAGATATTTTAAAATATTATTAAAATTAAAATATAGTATTTAAATTTATATTTAAATTTATTTTTTAAATATGAAAATAATTTTTTATTTTTTAATTATAAATTATTAAATAATAATACTTTTTTAGGAATTTTATTTAAAATATAATTAATTTTTAGAATAATATAAATTTAATACTTTTTTTTTGATTTTCATTTAATAAATAAATGTCAAAATTAAGTCAACTATTTTATATAGAACTATCAGATAATACTTTTTTTAGGAATTTCATTAAAAATACAATAGTTTTCAAAAATATAAAATTAATATTTTATTATAATTTTTATATAATTAATGGATATTAAAATTAAATGTGAACTATCTTATTAGAAATTGTATTCAAAAATTATATCTATATCTTTACTTATTATGAATTTTCATAGTCACTAGTGAAATTTTAAACTTTATCTAGGCATGAATTAAAACGATCAGAATTTATTAAAATTTAAAAATAAATTTTTATAGTTTCTACATATGAAAGTATATTATTTATTTCTAAACTATAGAAAATGGTATTAAGTAACATTAAATTAGATAATGAAGTGCATCTACTGTAAAATTTTTAGATTGATTTCTTGAAAATTGAATAAATAGTTAACGATTTAATTTAAAAATTCAATCATTAATAATTCTCTCGATTTATACTTAATAAGTCTTAAATATTTACAGTAGATGCACAATACTCTCTAGTTTAAAGTTACTTAATAACATTTTTGATAGTTCATAAGGAAAAAGTATACTTTTATATGTTGTAAATATCAATGATATTATTAATAATTGTTTATAAAAAATGCAAAAAAAAATATTTTTGAATTAAATTTTAACATAATCATCGATCGTTATGACATATAGTAAATTTTTCCCTTATGAACTATTAAAAATGATATTAAGTAACCTTAACTAGTGCATTTACTATAAGAATATTAGACTTATTAAATATAAATTGAGAGAAAGATTGACAATTGAATTTTTAAATTAAATCGTTTACTGTTCTCTCAATTCTTAATAAATAAGTCTAAAACTTTTATAGTAGATGCATTACATTCTCTAGTTTAATGTTACTTAACATCACTTTTGACAGTTCATAAGTTAAAATATACTTTTATAATTAAAATTTATTGTTAAATTATTTTTTATTTTTAATAAATTTTGATCATTTCAATTCATGCCTAAGTAAGTTTAAAATTTGACTAATATCCATGAAAAACGATAATAATTAAAGTTGTAGATATTATTTTTGGCTACAATTATCTATAAGATAGTTGGCATTTATATTTCGTATCCATTGAACCAGGTTGAAATTTCTATTAATTAAAAATTTTATATCAAAATTGAAATACTTATAATTCTATTAATTTTAATACAAAATTATAGAACTTTTATATAACATATAATTTAATCTTAGCTATCAGATTACTTAATACATAAAATACGATTTAATTAATAATAATAAAAGTTTTATTTTTAAAAATTGTCCGGTGTCTCTAGACTTTTTACCAGTGAGTGTATATATATCTTAAAAATAAAATCATCTGAGGTATTCCTTAGGGCTAGTACTTTACACTTTTATTTCGTTATCCTTGAGGGTTTTTTACTTTGATTTTTACAAAAATCCTTACTATTATTGATCGTCCTGGCTAATTATTGTAGGTATGAGTCACCTCAGATAAAAAACACTAATTTATGAAAATTGTGCAATTACGTACCTATATCGTCACAGAGTATCGGTGTCTATTGTATATAAAAGAAAAATAATCGATTTGTATTAACTAAAAACTGCAAAATGAATGTCCTTTTATTTCCTTTTATATTTCCGTTTATATTCAGTTCTTACATTTTCATAATTGGTACAATTTTCGTGTTCTCTCCTATTTGGATTCCGTTTACAGGGTATATTCTTTAATACAAATGAAAAGAATAAATACATTTTGCGAAAACCATATGTACTAATATCAATCATCGTCTCATTAGACTTTACATTTTATTTAAAATAATGGAGGAACAAAATCCGCCTGAAACGCTTCAAACCCTCCTTAAGTATGAAAAAAGCCCTAATCAAGCGCAAAGTTTTCTTAGTACGGTTTATAGTTTTCTCTATATACTTGATATCATAGTGGTAGTAGCAATGTTTAATATTTGCTCCCTTAACCTATTTGTAGCTCGTGTGGGCAAGAATTTTAAGTGGCCCCTTTTGATGCCAGAATACTTAAGAAGCTATGCCTTTGAAAACATCGCTGACCTCGAGTTCAAATTCGACGATGAGATTGGGTTCAACATCATATTTTTCTACAATTCACTTGATAATAACAAATTTGTTGGTCATGAAAACGAATGGGTGACGGTGCACAATCAGAAGGTAATAGAGTATGGACAAGAGTATAACGATGATCAATTAAATAAAATTCTGGAAATTATGCCTGGTGCTATTCAACTCCCGGTTGACCAGACACGTCTACCACAAAGTAAGCCGGCGAAGATGGTGATTTTTCAGAGTATTAATAGTGATGACTACAAGGTTTGAATATGTATATTTCGGAAAATTACAACATTTTAGTAAAATATGTATTTAATTTAGTAATTTTTCAAATAAAGGTTAGAGTTCGTATCAGAAGGCCGGATGAAAATGATATAACCACTCTTCCGTATGATTTTTATGACAATATGAATAATGACAAAAGGTATACATCCGTAGTCGATACAGGTGCACCAGAAACCATTTTGCCATATTATGTTAAAAGAATGCTTGGGAGTAAGGGGTGGAGTACGATACCAAGAAGAGCTGGAGGTTATGGTGCACCTGCGTTGCAAATTCGTGCGTCCGCGATGTTTGAGGTGTCTATTGGCGATGACAATAATTGGACAAAGTGGGTTAGAGCAAAAATTCTGCTCTGGGAAAAAAAACCCGGTAATAAAGTTGGATATGCTCTTATCGGAAATGATATTACCAACCAATTAGCATATGTGCACGAAGTAGGAAAACCAATCAAGTTTTTAGATCGTCAAGATGAACTTAAGCTCACCAAATTTTTAAGGGAATGTTCTTGAATCCGAAAGATGTAAATTTGAGACCCATAATGAAAACTGTTTTTATTAATCTTACAATTATGTTTACTAAACACAAAAAATGACGCTCCTATCAAAGACCCTTCAAATTAATTACTAATCATTAAAACACACGCTAGAAATCCCTGATTTATTATGCATGATAGATTATACATATATAATGTATTTCGTTTCAGTAATAACAATTTTTTTAATGTGTATGGTGTATGCTGTATACAGGTGTGATATGGATACTATGTGTACTGGTTAATAAACTGCCCTGAAGGTCGCATTTGCTTTTGTGAATTTTTTATTAAATATCATTTGAAGTTTTAATTTACTCGATAAGACCCAATTCTCGAAGGTGCTCTGGAATAACTATATATGGGTCTTTGTAGTACCAAACATACCTAAAACAATCCATTTTTCTTCACATAATTCATTCTTGAGTTGATCCCGTGCTTGCTGTTGGATAAAATTACTGGGATCTCCTCTATGGAAGAATTCGATGTATTTTTCGTGTTGTTGTCTTTGTACTTCGATTGCAAAGCCATATTCTGGGTAATCATTATCAAGTTCTAATCCTACAGGCGATTCTAGTGTTTTTAGAAAATCAAGTTGGCGTATCTTGGATGGCGGTCTAGGGATTGGTATAAGCAAACCGGATATCCGGATGACTTTAAAACCGTTTGATCATTATAACCGATTTCAGTCAAGTTTTTATTTGAATTAATATTTGATCCGGATGAAATAGGATTAATTATTATTATAACGTTTAAATTTTAAACTAGATAAAATAAAATTTAACCATAATTTATCAAGAAATTTTAGGAAACAAAAATTTGTGCAAATTTTCATTATCTACAAAAATTTACATAAGTTTTTGTTTTTCTTTATTTTTTGACTTAGCTCGCGATTTGTGAGGCATAAACCAATTTTTTACTAAGATATTTCTAATATAGATAGAACGGCCTTGTTGTTGGCTATAAAATAATATGCTTTTAATTCCTGTAGCATCGATATTCGTAGAGTTATTCCAGTTTAAAGAAAAACGTCCGTGAAAAATCGTGCGTACAGATTTTCACATGATTTTTTCACAGATGGGTTTCTTTAAACTGGAATAAATCTGCGAATATCGATGCTATCTGGATGAAACACATACCATTTTGTAGCCAAGAACAAAGTTGTTCTATATATATTAGAAATATATTAGTAAAAAATCGCCCTACGCTTCGCAAATCGCGAGCGAATTCGAAAAAAAAAGTCTAAAAATTTCTGGAATTTTCACTTTTTTTGACTTTGCTCGCAATTTGTGAAGCGTAGAGCGATTTTCTACTAAAGTATTCCTAATATAGAAAGAAAGATCTTGTTCTTGGCTACAAAATTATGTGTGTCTTTCCAGATAGCATTGATATTCATGGGTTTATTCCAGTTTTAAGAAAAACGTCCGTGAAAAATCATGTGAAATCTGGTAATATCTGTACGCACGATTTTTCACAGACGTTTTTCTTTAAACTGAAATAACTCTGCGAATATCGATGCATCTCTTCTTTTTATATAATATGTGATATGGTACAAAAAGTCTAAAGACATCAAGTTACTGAAATTTTATAGTTAATATGTCATATGATTTATTATATAAATACTTGTCAAAAGTACAAAATTTATATGAATAAAAAAGAATTCAAAAATTTTTGAACAAAAAAAAAAAAAAATTCAAAAATTTTGAACAAAAAAAAATACTTAAAAATTTAACTTATCTTAAGATTAATTATATATTATTAATTTTGAAATTTGTAATTCTATTTAATTGATAATTCGTGAGTCAGGTGTAGAAAATGATTGATATACATTAAATAAATGTGATGAAAATTTATTAATTAAAAATAGTGATTCTAAATGTCAAGTTTTTCAATATAAAAATGTCAAAAGATGTTGGTTTACTTCAAAGCTCTTAGGAATTAGTTATATTTTTCCAGAATTGCATTATGGTATTTTTGCATGAAATTGGTAGGAACCAGTTTCATTGGAATTAAAAAACACTATAGTAACTGCTATTCTGTTTTGCCTATATATATATATTACTTGTAATCTCAATGGTAAAGACTTTATTCTTACTGTTGTTAAAAATAACAAAAATTAACTAAAACCTAGTTTTCAATATACTTGTAAATATATAAGTTCTGAAATAAAACCTTATCCTTCTACAACAATAAATTCTTGTTATCAAAAAGTTTTTAACACTAAGACTGAATATTCTGGTATATCGATCATGGGTTTTGATGATAAAAATATTGTTCAACAACTACTGGATAAAGTAGAATTTATTTTAATATTTTCTTGAATTGAAAAATTTTCAATTGTAATATCAGGAATCGCCTATTCTTTTTTCAATCAGTTTTATGAAACTGGAGCTAGATTTATTTCTTCTTTTATTACATGATACAAGAGTTCACAACATTTATTTTATTGAAAATAGATGACAGTCAATGTGTTATAGAAATATATTTAGATAGTAATAAAGTTCAACAATATATTGGACTTATGTCAGATAATGTTTGGAAAAATGTTAGAATTTATAAAAATTTTTTAGGTTTATATATCTTTGGAATTACTTATGAATCTATGTAATAATTATTAAATTTTGAAGATCAAAAGGTTACATGCTTACCTAATGAATGGTGTAATCACATAAAACTTTCAAATATATTTGACTATTAATAAAAGATACAAAAAATTCCAAATATAATGATTAACTGGATATAGCTTTTTGATAATTGGTATAAACAGCATAGTACTATTGTTCAATTTTCATTTGTACTTACTAAAATATATCCAGAAAATTATAAATTTCAGAATAAGGAACTAAGAATATGGCATGCTATGTTTCAAACATGTGGTTGTTCAGATATAACTCCATTTTTACATATGAAATTTCAAATTGAATTTTGAAGTAAAGCTTATGATATTAAAGTAAACAAAGAAAATTTATGTAATTTGTACAAAACAAATTTACTTTCTATTAATAATAAATTTGAATCAATTACAACTTAACAAAAATTTTGGGAAAGTTTTCAAAATGCACTGAATTCAAATAAAAGAAGTCAAGATAGACATGTTGGAATCTTATCTATTATTGCATTAAAATTCAGGTATATAGATTTGAAACAAGAATTAAAAATAAGTAAATATATAATTATGTAATATTATAAAATTTATATATTATAAGAAAATAATATAAATAATAATTATTTTTATTTTATACAATATAGGTTATGCCTTATATTATAAACAAAATAAGAAAACATTTAAGGTTATATAGTCCAAGAGCTTCTCCTCTAAATAAAATAAAAAAGACTATTCAATGTATAAATGTTTCTAAAGAAGAACAGTTTAAAATTTTTTTCAAGATCGTGAAAATATAGCTATGAGTTTTTATTAAATAGATGTAAATTCAGAATTGCCAGTTTTATATTTACAAGATTAAAAATGTTATTTATGAAATAAATATTTTAAAATTATTTAATTAAAATAAAAAGGACCACTTTTATAGTTCGTTTACAAAATTCTAAAAATTTGAAATATCATGAAAACCTTGAAGGTTTATACTGTTATGTTCTGTGCAGAACAAAGCAAAAGTTACACCAATCAGTCTCAAATTTATCACGTAATAATATATATATATATATCACTAACACACTTTTATTGTATATGATATCACGACACACTATAAGTCAGGTGATCGGTCAATCTAAACCTGCTTACTAATACTCACGAGTAATACAATTGCGTGTAATGTCTGAAGGTATGATGAGTAAGTGGAATAAAAGTACAGTGGGTGGTCAAAAATCACCAGACAGTTAAACATTTTTAAAAAAATTACTAAATTTAAAATGCTAATTGTACCATAACGAGTTATCTAAATTGCACAAACTTTTTTTTATTAGATTTCCCTAAAGCAGGGCTATTATATAATACATTTTTTGTTAAAATTAAATATCTATACGTAGAGAAATTACACTTCAAATAAAATTGACAAAAAATAATAAATTTAACATTTAATCGTTGTCCATATCGGAATCGATGAATTTTAAAGATAGATACCAACTATCTTATATTGAATTGTAGCCAAAAACAATATCTATAATTTTAATTAGTAGCATTTTTCATGGTATTTATTGAAAATTTAGGCTTTACTTAGATATAAATAAATTTTTATTTATTTATTTATTTATTTTAGTAGACCGGCGCAATCTCATACAGTTTCCTTTAATATTACAAAAAAATATGATGAAATTGCATTAGCTAATCTGATAATACGACTTAACCTACCACCATGTAAAATGGGATTTTACAATTAGTAAGTTTCAACCGCTACAGCCCCACTAACATCTATTCTTAATAAATTGAAAATAAACTTGTAAATTGAGGTATCTATCTGTAATGTATAGTTTATTGCTATATCTAAGATATGATCTTTGAATCTTTCTATTTGATTTTTTTGTTTTTTATATTTTTCATTATTTTTTTCTTTATTTTTTGATTTTATATTTGGGAATTTTTCAAGTTTTCTTTTTATTTCCTTTTGTTCTATTGTTTCTTGAGTTTGATTGTTTCTTTCTAACCATAATTCATAAAATTCTGCTGTTATAGTCTAATAGATCTTAATAATAATTCCTTTGGCTGTTTTTCTGTCTAATCTTATTACTGCTGCCAGTTGGTCAATTAGTTGTTTCGGTATAAGTCCTCTTATTATATCACTTAAACTGAATTTCGAGTTTTTTGTTGTTTTCCATGTATTTGTTCTATTTGAGTCAAAAGAATATAATTTGTTTTTTATTATTTTTTCTCTTATGAAGTTTCTAGTTTTCTTGTGGTTGATATTTAGTTCTTTAAGGTGTTTTTTAATCGTTTTGATCTATATTTGTTTAAAATTTTTTTTATTAGTTTGACATGTGAAAATGTGAAGTGTTATTTTTTCTTGCGTTTTATATCGTGGACATTTAGAACTATCATATATTTCTTCTTTGAGGTTATTTAATCTTGTATATGTTGATAGTTCATCACATATTATTTTAATTCTAAATGTTCTTAGACTTTGATTTGTATTTGATGTTTCTCCGTTTGTTAGTTTTGAGTGTATTAAAGCTTCTTTCGTTACATTCCAATCTACTGTTTTTTCTATATTTCTATTGAAGGACTGAATAAATCTAAGTTGTATTTTCCAATTGATTAGATTTTGGATGTTACTTATATTTTTAGTTAATTCTTGTATTGAATAATCTAAGAATTTGTTTTCCTTTTTTAATTAATAGTTTTTGACGAAAGAATGTTCGTAGTTAAGATCTACTATTGTTTTGTTTGTTGTTTCTTTTTAAGCTAGTTCATCTGCTTTATCATTTAATGATATGCCTGTATGTGCTTTAATTTTGGTTAGTTTTAAATTTATATTTTTCTCTATTATTGTTTCTTTTATTATTAGTAATAGGTTTGGATTTTTGTAGAGTTTTCTGCGTTTTCTTTGTTTGGGATGGACAAAGTTGATTATTGCATCTACTGAGCTTTTTGAATCTGTGAAGATTTCTATATTTGAGTTATTTGGTATTATTGTTATAGTTAATACTATTGCTACTAGTTCTGCCCTTGTTGATGATAGCGGACCTATTGTTTTCCTATTTAATTCTTTAATGATTTCTTTGATATCTTGATTTATTAGAACTATTTCATATCCCAATTGTGTTTGTTGTTTTGTTAATGTTTTGCTGTTATAAGTTTTTTTCATCGATCCGTCGGTGTATGCTATGTAGTTTTTTATGTTGTTTTTATTAAGGTTATTGTATATGTAAAATAACTCTTGTTTTTTTTATTCAGTTAACGTGAAAGGGCAGTTAAAGTTGTTCTCATTGTTTTGCTCTTTTTCATTTGTGTGTTGGTAATTTGTTTCGTTCTCCATTTTTTTATATATTGTTTCATCGATTGAGTTAGGAGAGTAAAAAAGATATCTTTCTTTTACTGTTTTTTCCTTTGACTTTATTTTGTATGTATCTTCCTTTGATAGTTCAAACATATATTTTATGTTTTTATATTGTTTTATTTTGATTTTTTTTTCTTTTTTTAATTTTTTTAAATTTTTTATTTGTTCTTTTGTTTTATGGATTTCATTTAGATAGCATCCATTACATGAATTTATTATATGGTGATTTATTATATTTCCTTGGTTTGCGTATATATAGTGTTCTATTAGTATGTTGTTGTTCTCTTCGTTAGGTGTTTTAAGTATTCTTCCTATTGTTAATTCTTGTGGACATTGGGGATTTATGTATTTTGCTGTTATTAGTTTGTTTTCTTCCCATCTGTTGTTTACGTTTTCTCCAAGAGGTTGGAATTGATTATTTAGTAGGCTTTCGTTATCAATATTTATCTGATTATCGTCAAATTTTTTTTTTATTATTTTGTACCATTTTGGTATTGCACCTTTTGTTGAGTATTCATTTATTTGGCTCCAGCTTCTTAACTTTATGTAGTTTGAATTGTTATTTATTATTTGTTCTATAAAAATTATGTTATCTTTTTTTAACTGGTTTTTTATTTTGTCATACTCTTTGGGTTCATTTATTATTTTTTCTATTGTTATTTGTCCTCCTTGTATTATTACTGGGATATTTCCTGGTTTATTTGTTATCGTTAATTTTAGGGTTTTCATTCCTTCTATTATTTTTATTATTCTGTTTTTTTTCCCTTTTTAAATGTTTGAAAGTCATAGTTCCATATTGGAGTTGTTGACTATATTTCATTTTGAAGTGTTTGTGTTCTAATTCTGGTTGTAGTTCCATATGTTTGATTACTTTCTAGTCGCTTCTTGAATTCTATTATTGCTTGTCTATATATTCTACTTTTTAAATCGAATAATTTATATCCCATTCTTGAATGTAATACTGAGTTCAGAATGTCTTTGGGTAGGTTTACTTTGTATTTGAATGTAGGCTGTAATTTGGCTTCTTGTTTCCTTATCCATTTTTCTTCTGGTATTAAATTTTGAGCTAAATATAATATTTGTAAATTTAGGACTTGATTGTAAATATATCTTATTTGTTTGTCCGTTACTTTTGCTCTTCTAATTACTGCTGTTGTATAATTTATTCTTTGTTCCATTTTTTTTAATTGTATTTGTTGGTTACCATTGTATTCTATCCATATACCTAGGTATCTAGTTGATGGTTAATCTTTTGTACATTTTAGTATTTCACCTCCAAATTTAATTTCGTTTATTATATTTTTGTTTTTTATCTTTTTCGCTTCATCGTTCATTACTATTAGTTCTGATTTACTACTGTTTATTTTAATTCCTGTTATTTCCATAAATTCTTCTACTTCCTGTATTAGGTTTTTTAATTGGTGTTTGCTTTTTGCAATCCATACGGTATCATCCATGTATGCTAAGGCTACTAAATTTTGCTGTAGGATTGGTGTTAATCTTTCTTTTTCGTTTATATTTGTTCGTATTGGAGTTTTCATTGAGTATCCTGTATATCTTCTAGTTATTCTTGTTAATAAGATATTATAGAATATGCACCATAAGATAGGGAATAACGTATCTCCCTGTTCTACTCCATTTTCTATTGCGAATTCTTCTGTTGATCCATATTCTGTTATTATTGATGTTTTCCTATTTGCCATTATAAAACTTATAATTTTTGTTAATTTATACAGGATTCTTATCCTCTGTAGAGCTTTTACTAGGCATTCTGGATTTACTGAGTCGAAGGCTCTTTTTATATCTTGGAAAAGAAGCCATAGTAGTTTTTTAGACTCTTTTGCGTCTTCTATAATGTTAGTAATTATTGAAATTGGAAATGCGGTTCGTCCTCCCGGTATACCTGCAAAGTTAAATTCTGAGAGGATTTTATTTTCAGTTATTATTTTGGTCAATCTTGTGGTAATTATTTTTTGTA